GTCACCTCCCTGCAGGTCTCTCACCCACATCTGCCTTAACCAGTCCAGGGTCAGGAAACAATCCCGGTTTCTTCATCACATGCTTGCTGCTCCATGTGGCTTCCTCAGGTCTCCTGTTCTTCTCCATCCAGCTTCCTTCTCTTCTCTTTTTTCTCTGCTCAGCTCCACCCTAATTCTGGGTGGGGCAGGGAACCTGGAACTCCCCTTTTTTCCTAGGGACCCCCCTGTGACACATTAACATACTTAGAATTAGCATTGACCTGCAGGTCAACCATGCCTGCCTAGGTACACAGGATTCCTTTTCTTTCTTTCAGACGATCCCTGAGATCACCACGCTGGCATGGTATACCACCCTGCTGCCCTTGCTTCTGGTGCTGGGCATCACAGCCATCAAAGACCTGGTAGATGATCTGGTAAGGCCTGCTCATGCACCTTTCTCCTGCTTGTGCGGAGCTTATTTTACTTTGGCATTACTACTGTACATTTTTATGTGATCAGAATAACCTTTTTTCATTTTCTTGCAAAGGCTCGCCATAAAATGGACAAGGAGATCAACAACAGGACGTGTGAGGTCATTAAGGATGGCAGGTAATGTGCTTCCCTTCACTGGGAACTTAGCTACAGGACACCTTGTGTCACTTGGTCTAGAAATCTGTTCAGATATAACTGTCGGAACCAAGAAGTCTGTTGGTGTTTGAACCCTTTCACAGTAAAGTTCTCTCACCAACAAAGACGCAGAGTCCCTTTTTGTGGCCTGGAGGCTGGGCCCATATTGTTGGCTGTTTGGTCTGTGTATCCTCTGATGCACTAGCCCCCCCTCCCCCGCTCCCTTTGTCTCCACCGTGCTGCTCCCATCTCTGCTGTTCCCAGACTCACATGCTCAGGGCTTTGCCTCAAGGTCTGGATGCCTTTCCCAAGTCTCCAGCCAAGGTGATGGTGTGAGATCCCGAGTTAGCCCACCTAACCCTGACTGACTACCCTGTCGAGGGTTGCTCTGAGTTGCGTTGGATTTGGGCGTTGGGGCCACACTTCAGGCAACGTGGCAAACCCTGGAGTGAGGTCTCGGGTATATATGAGGCGCTAAAGGGTAAACTGGAATATCCCAGTGGGGGCCCCCAGTGGAATTGTGTTTAGTACTTCCGAAGAGCTGTGATCACAAGGTGCCAACTTGCTCATTTATAATTTGTAACCCACACTCAGATTATTAATTCATAATTCTAGAGCTATTGAAATGTTAACTAGCTACAACTTCATTTGTTGAAAGATAATCCGAGTTTTAAAGTACTGGAATTCAGAATTGGTATTAGATTCTTCCCTAGGCTAGGGAAACGAGGGCATAAATTTATCTTTAAAATGTATTTTAAATCTTTGCTTTTTTAATCCATGGGAGGACATATATAGTCCTTAGTTTTCTGCCTCCAAAAAAAAAAATTTCTAGTAGCAGGTTCAGGTGACTTGTGAGAGGGATCTATTTTCAATGTATAAAGCAACCTTTAAAGCAGACTAGTCTATTTTAAAACTTTAACATGTTGATTTGTTTGAAATGTAAATGGGTACTTCTATAAAACTTAACACAGATGGGATGATAGCAACCTAGCTTTTGTGTATATATATATATATATATATTTTAAAGATTTATTTATTCATACAGAACTGGGGTACAGGCCAGAGATGTGGAGGGTGAGAGGATTCACCAGAGGGGAGCAGAGCAGGCAGATCTACAAAGTACTGCTGAGGGGAGCAGCAGGCGGGTCAGGAGAGGTCTGCTGCACCATGTGGTCACCTCCGGGGCAGGCTGGGATCGAACTCATGCGGTAGTGGCTCAAGCCTCTCAGTGCTGTGCTTCAACCCGCTGCGCCACCAGGGAGGGTCCAGCTTTTGTATATTTTTAAAAAATTATAATAGCTTATTTCTACATCATTTTGTGCTTTTTTCCGTCTCAGTTGTAATCTCTGTGGGTTTCCCATCACCAAATCACCCATGTGCCATCACCATTGTCCAGTGCTGCACTTTTTTTTAAAGATTTATTTATTTGTGCATACAGAACTGGGGTACAGGCCAGAGGTGCGGGCGGTGAGAAGATTCACCAAAGACAGAGTGGGAACAGGCCGACTGACGAGGGGACTGCTGAGGGGAGCAGTGGGCCGGTTAGGAGAGGTCTGCCGTGCCATGTGGGTCACCTCCAGGGTGGGGATCTAACTCATGTTGAAGTGGCTTTAGCTTGTGAGTGCGGTGCTTTACCCTGCTGCGCCCCCAAGGAGAGCCCACTTTTGTACATTTTATCAATAGTCTTACTAGACCTAGCATAAGAATGAAACCCATTTATTTAAAAGATGCCTTGAAGAACAGAGAGGAGGCAGGCTCTGTAGCTCCCTGAGAAGCCAGGGCACCACATGGGAGCTGAGATGTGTTCCTGTCCAGGGTAGGGACACTGCCAAGGACAGGGAGCCGAAAGGAGGGGATTCAGGAGAGGTGGCACCACAGGACGTTGAGTGTCAAAGGCGCGCCCGTCCCTACAGGACGTGACGTGTGAAAGGGGCGCCCGTCCGCACAGGACGTGACGTATGAAAGGGGCGCCGGTCCCGCCGGTCCCACGACTTAGCAGCTTCCCACTGACCCTTCAGCACGTGGCCCCATATGTCGTTGCCCTCAAAGGCTAATCTGACACTGGTGACCACGTCCTCCATGGCTGAACTTTCAGCAAACCTTTTCCTGCGATTCACATGTTTCCCTAGAATTTTCGGCTTCCAGAAGGCAAATAATTCCACATGAGTGAACTATCTTTGTTTAGGCAATAATGAAAGATCTTTTATTTTTAATATTTAGATTCAAAACTGCCAAATGGAAAGATATTCAAGTTGGAGATGTCATTCGCCTGAAGAAAAATGATTTTATTCCTGTAAGTGAAAACACAATCGCTCACACCAGGTTCTCCCTCTGAGCTGTGCAACTTCCTCTGGGGTCTTTGCGTGATAGCTGTGTTTTATTTTGAGCAGGCTGACATCCTGTTGCTCTCCAGCTCTGAGCCGAACAGCCTGTGCTATGTGGAAACCACTGAACTAGATGGGTAAGTGGGTCCTGGGCCAGCCTGTTTTCGAACTGACCTTGAAGGTACACTCGGTGCATGACAGTCATGCCCTCTGGACAAGGAGCCGTGAGATCTGGTCCTGCCTCTGCCCTTGCTGGCTGTCCAACTGTGTCTGCCATAGCCACACCTCTCTTTTTTTCCCATCTAAGTACTAGCCAAGCCTAACCCTGCTTAGCTTCCGAGATCAGATGAGAATCAGGGTTGTATGCCCGTGGGTGCCACAGCTCTCTTTTTAAATTATATCTGCAAAGCAGAGCTCTCAGACCTGTTCTCCCCACCTTTCAGGAAAGATAAAACAATCCATGGAGAATAAATTCCTGAGCTCTCTGCAAACTGGTAAGCAGTATCCACTCTACAAATGTAACCTTGCAGAGCACAGAGCAGACTTTTAAAGTCCTTGGACAGCGGACAATTGTGAATTCCCCCTTTGTTGATTTTGGTTATCACATGTCCACACAAGGGAGAAGAAAATGCTTCTTTTGGTCTGTTTTCAGTACATTTATCAAGAGCTCCTAGGCTGCACTAGCTGGACCTGTTAGTTAAAGTCCTAGCATGCTTAATCACAACAAAGAGCATGAGGGGACTTGAGACCCACTGGTCACCTTGTTCATATTTGGATCCCTCATGTGATATTTGTAAAACCTGGAAAGGGTACCCTCAAGGGATTAAGCAGCAACATCACTTTTGAGAGCACCGGCCGCTCCCTGGTGTCCCTGGGCCGCCCTGTGGGTGGGACAGGCCCAGACTAGGGATGAGTTACCCTACTTTCCTGGATAGAATTACCTTCCAAGACATGGGATACAATGACTCACTCTGGAAAAAAGTAAATTGAAAATGTCTGAAGATGTTTTGTAGAATCATTTTATCATGATTAATAGTAGAAGCAAATTTTAAACAGCATTTTGGTAGTCTAGGCTGGTGACAAGTTAGGTGGCAGGAGGAGGCAGCCCCTTTCCCAGCCATGTTGACCCTCAGTCATGGTGAAGGGACCCACATTTCTCAGGTCAAAAGTTTTTCCCAAACCTAAATTTCAAGGTGAATATAGAGTTTGAGAATAGAAAAAGTTGATTGCTTAGTTTCTGGAACTACCAGGCCTGATCTTATTTTGTAGTTTTCTTTATGTTCCTTCTAGAATTGCAAAAATTATCCATTTAATTCTTTTTCCTCTTCTTTTAGGGAAACCAACTTGAAGTTCAAAATGGCTCTTGAAATCACACACCAGTATCTCCAAATAGAAAATTCATTGGCAACCTTTGATGGTTTGTATAAACACGTCTTTGTTTTAAATGTTAGCTGCTCAATTTAGCTCCTATTAATTAGAACCAGAAAATCACTCATATGTGAGAACTGAATGTGAAGCCTATCTTTTTTTTTTCTTTTAAGGTTCTGTAGAATGTGAAGAACCCAATAACCGACTAGATAAGTTTACAGGAACACTGATTTGGAGAAACTCAAAGTTTCCTTTGGATGCTGATAAAATTTTGTTGCGTGGCTGTGTGATTAGGAACACAGATTTCTGCCATGGACTAGTCATTTTTGCAGGTACTGTCAGGCCTTCTTGGGAAATTGACCGACTGTACTTTAAAGATTCAAAGGGGGAGGGAGGTTGCTTTTTTTGTCCTTTCTCCACTGAAACCAAAGAAGGGTAATTTCTTTCCTTTTGTTTTTTAATATTTATTTTTGTGTAGAAGAATGGAGGTGTAGAATAGAGGTCAGGGAATGAAAGGATTCGCCAGAAACAGAGTGGGGAGCAGAACAGGTGGATCTCCTGAAATCCACTGCTGAGGGGAGCAGTGGGTGAGACAGGAGAGGTCTGCTGCACCTGTGGGTCACCTCCCTGGCTGAGATCAAACTCAGGCTGTGGTAGTGATAGTGCTGTGATTTAACCCCGAGGGCCCTGAGGGAGGGTAATTTCATTGACATACCAATGAATTGACTTCCCCACTGTTGCTTGTTTTGAATTTTCCATTTTTAGGTGCTGACAGTAAAATAATGAAGAACAGTGGGAAAACCAGATTTAAAAGAACTAAAATTGACTACTTGATGAACTACGTGGTTTACACGGTATTTATTTTCTGTATCAGTAGCCAGAAGGCCACTAATTGTGTTATATGTTAATTCTGCTAATTGTGTTGTATGCTTTCCTAATGTAAAGAAACTCCATGTAGAAAACTGCATAAAGTTATCCAAGTTTGAATGAGGGGTGGGGACGTTAAGGATTCTCATTTTTCCCTCAGAAATGCTACCTTTGTAATAGGGGAATCCCCTGGAGAGTGGAGACCAGTGGTCAGTGCCCTGTGTGTGTGACTGCGTGACTTGAGTGACCCTCCATAGGGTGCTGGGCCTAGGATGCTGAAGTCAAGGTGTTACAGGGCAACCCAAAGTGAACCAAGTGAGCCAAGTGTCCAGCCTCCAGCCATGAGGCCAAGGGAGAGGGAGAGGGAGAGGGAGAGGGAGAGAGGGA